TATTATTATAGTTTTATTTAATAAAAAATTACTTTTTAATTTGATTACTATAGTCATATAAAATATAAATGAGAATTTTTATTTATTATAATTATATAATATATTTTATTAAAATTTTAAATATTATAAAGTTTTCTTTATAATAATTAAATAAAACTCTAATAATTATTTTACAATTTTAATTATCTTCTATTAAATTATTTTATTTTATTTTTTTTAACACTATTCGAAATTTTTACTAAATCAAATTTTTACATATCTAATTATATATATCAGATAAATTAGTCATATAATTTGTTTTTTTTAATTATTAATTTTTATATTCTATTTTTTTTTTAATTAAAAATAATTTAACTTTTAACTATATTATATATAATATAAATATTTGATTAAATTCTTATATATTTTTAATTTACTGTATTTAATAGTTTATCATTTAAAGCTTTTAAGCTAATAAATCCTAGTTTAAAATATAATTTCTTATATAATAATTTTAAAAATATAGCATAATAAATTTTAATGTTTTAAATTTATTTTTGTATTTCATAAAATGATTCTTGTATGATAGAGTTTATTAAATATATATTTATTAATTATAAAAATTAATTTTATTTTATATATTAAATATGAAATTAGTTAATTTTACTTATCTAAAATATAAATAATATAAATCCTCATATAAAACAAAAGTTAAATATATTTAAACAAATATTATTCTTTTTTTCTACTTTTAATCAAATTATTATCATAATAAATATAATTTATACAATATTATATTAAGAAAAAATTATAAAAAATTCATTTAAAAATTTATAAATATTAATAAAATAAATTTTTTACTTAATATATATAATAATTTAAATGAACAGATATAATACATTTAAAAACTTCAAAAAAAAATAAAAAAAATGAATTAATAAAAAAATTTATAATTATAGAAAAAAAAATTTCAAATAATAATTTTAAGTTTATTATTTTTCCATTACCCCGTAATTTATTATTATTAATCTTTAACCAAAAATTTATAAATACCAGTCCCTTATATAATATCATTAACAAAAGTTCCAAAGAAACTCGAATTATCATGAAACTTTAAAACTCCAGCTCCATATTTTTATCCATTTTTGAATTAACCTTCATACTATATCCAAGAATTCATATTGTATTTAAAATTTTTATAATTAATCAAATTATAATCATTACTTTTATTAAAAGCGACTCCTTTTCCATGATAAAGATCATTAGCCCATTCTCCATCATAGATAATGACTTTATTTTATTGTATAATTTACCAATACCTTATCTTTTTTCATTTGAGAATTCTCCTTCGTAAAAATTTTCATTTGGATAAATTATTTTAAATGTGTTTTTTTGTCCGTTTTTTGTTTGAATAATAATTTAATCTTGATATATTTTATTTTATTTTAAATAAAAAATAATTTTTTAATTAAACAAAAAAATAAATAAAAAATCTTTACTTTTTTAATTTTAATTTTCTTAAAAATCATCAAAATTATTTATATAATTTTATGTTATTTTCTATTGTTTTTCTGAGCTTTAATTTTCTAATTTTTATTCATCATTATACTACTTTTTAATGTTTAAGAATAGGTTTCATTTGTTTCCGAACTTTAATTATTTTCTAATTTTTATATAAATAATATGATTTTAATTAAAATAAACCAATTAGATATGGATTAAAAGAATTTATCTATTATCTTTTATTAAATTTATTTTATTAATCGCTATTCTAAAATAATAATATTAATAAATTTTATTATTTAAACTAAAAAATTACTAATATTGAAAACGGATAATTGATTGAGTTTTAAAATTTAGAAGGTTAAGGTGATTAATAATTAGTATATTATTAATTTTTTTAATTACAATTTACATTATTGTATATTTATTAATTGCTAGTATTTGTAATAATTGATTTCAGTTTTTAATTAGTATTTTAATTCCTAAATGTTGTATTTTCAGATTATAGTTCTACTCCTTATTAAAAATTTAAACTTAAATCTTTTATAATATTATAATTTGAAATAAGTTAATGATTTTTAAAGTCTGGTTATTAAGTTTAATTTGTTAACAAAAAATACTCATTTTAATTATTTTATTAAATAGCTTTTTTATCTATATTAAAAATTTTATTTTTTATAATATTAGTGTTTGTATTTATTTTATTATCGAAAGAATTTCCAAATAATTTATAAGAATTATTATTAGTTATTTAAGGTTATATTATACATTAGTTTTAAGGTTTTAAATAAGAAAAACATTTTGTGAAATAAATTATTTGTTTAATTTATAATTATCATTATTCATATATATTTTATTTAATTTAATATATATATATATATATAATTATATATTTTTTTTAATAAAAATATTTTAATAAAAATATTTATTTTAAAAAAGATATTAAAATCATGAAAAATTCTTTCTTTAAAATAATCTTCGTAAGATAATATTAAATTACATAATTCTTTACTTTTTATTTTTTTTCTTATTAAACATAAGTACTACAAGTCTAAATAATTAATAGGTATTTTATTTTATTTTTTTTCAAAAATTACATAGTCCCTTTATTAATTTTCATATCCTTTCTTTTTCTAGGCATATCAATATCCATAAAGATAATTTTATAATTCTAACATAACAAATATTAAACGCATTTGTTTTGAATTCATCCATTTTCAAACACTAATATATCCCTAAATTATCAATATCAATAAAAAATATGTATTATTTAAATTTATTTAAAAGTGTGAATAAATATAAATTATAATCATCAAAAAAAAGGATATTTTATATATAAATAATTTATTATATTGTATAATTAATATTTTATTTTATTATCACTATTTATTAATTTTTTTATTAATAAAATTCAATTTATATAAAAAAAATCTTATTTTTATTCAAATTATATTCACAAAAAGACTAATTATTATATTAATCTAAAAAATCTTCTTATTTTTAATATAAAGCCCTTTTTATTTTATTTTAGCAAAAAATCATCTTAATTTCTTTAAAAAATCTCCTTTTTTTCTTTCTATTTTATCTTAAAAGAGTCTTTGAATTTGCCATAAATTTATTTTAATTATTTTGTATCTTTTTATTTTCCTTACAATCTCTCCCATTTTTCTATAGAAATCTCAGAAAAAGCCCTTCCTATACTATTAAAACAACATATTTTCCAATCAATTTAAGTTTTCGAAAAAAATGCACTTTTTTTATCTATAATTAATACCATTCTAAAAGTTTTTTTTATCCAAAAAAAAAAAAAAGTGTAAAAAAAGTGTACTTTTTCATAACTACTACAAGCTTCCTATTTTCTATTCCCTCGAATTCCTTAAACTAATTTATTAGTTATATTAAGTCCTATACAATATTTCTCGAATCTTTTATACAAATGGCTTATTTATAAATTTTATACCCGGTATTTTTTATTAAAATTTATATCAAATTTTACTCCATAAACTAAGTTTTTATTAAAATAAAACCTTTCTAAGTAAACTTAAGTGCCTTATTTAGTAAATTAATAGGCACTTATTTATGTTTGGCTTCATATTAGTTAATATAATCAGGAATTTACCGGTCGAACTCACTTTTAATTTTAATATCAAATCAAACTAAGACAGTCTTCCGAAACTTATTTTAAGTTAAATTTCTAAAACTCCGAGTTTCACTCGGTATTTAATCCGAAATTTAATAAATATATATATTTTTTTATTATTAGATTTTCAATTTTTTTTTTTTAAATTAATTTATATATTTAATTCTAAAAAGTTCGAAATTTACATTTTTAAATATTTTCTAGTTTTTTATTGTAATTACTAATTATTAAATATCTCAAAACTAAGTTTAAACTATAAGAAATATTTTATTATATTTGCATTATTGTTCTTATTTATCTGTATATAATTGAACGTGATATACTTATCATTTTAAACTGTTTATCTTTTATTTAATCAATATTTAATTTTATATTATCAAATATATAAAGAATAAATCTCATTAACATAATATTCTTATAAATTTAATTTAAATAAAAATATCTGTTATTAATTAAAAAATAATCATATTTTATTTGTTCATTATTATTAGAAATAATATTTATTATGCCTATTTATTTAAATTATATATTTAAATATAAAAGCTTTTAAACATATTATATCTAATTTACTTATTTTCTAAAAACTCTATATATTAAATAATTAATAAATTTATAATCAAATATATTAATTTAAAGCTATTTTTTTTTTTTATTATATTAATTTTGTAGTAAAATTATTTGTTTTTTAATTTTTAATTTAATATTTTTAAGATTTATTATTATATCTAAAAAAATTAATTTAAAGAATAAATAAAAAAACTAATTTATAAATAAATAAAATAACAATAATAATATAGTTACAGTTAATATTTTATTTTAAAATAAAAAAAATAAAAAATATAAAGTTCTATAAATATATAATTCAATTTAAATTAAATTATATGGTTAATTCTATTTAAATTTTAAGAAAATTAATTTATTTTATTTAGTAATAAATATCATTTATTTTCATAAATTATATCAAAATATTTTAAATTCTTTAAATAATTATAATTTTAAAATAAAAATAAAATTATATAATATAAATTATATTTTAAATTATTAGTATAAATTATAATATTTGAATTTAATATTAATTAAATTTATATAATGCATTATTTTATTAAAAACTTAAACCATTTTTGTTAAAATTAAAATATATTTGAAATTGAAATTCATTAATTTTTGAACATTTATTAAAATTTTAAATTATCCAATACATAAAAGAGAGATAATCATTTATTTTATTTAAAAATAATTAAAACTTGAGAAAAAAATATATAATCTACTTTTTTTTTAAAAAAAAAAATAATAATAATAAAATCTATAAATAAGTAATATATATAGATAATAAATTTTATTAAAAAAATAATAAAAAAAAAACAAATTTAAATAAAGTATGTTAGAAAACATACAAAACAAATACGAAGATATATGGAAATCAATAATAAGACCTCCTCGTGACACATATTAAATAGAAGATTTAGGCAAAAAATACAAAAAATAATAAAATTAATTAATAAAATAAAATAAAAACAGGTCCCTAAGAATTCAAATTAGATAATATACATATAATTAGATAAGATATAGATTTAAAAAACCCTAGAGGACATATATTAAAATGTTCGTATTTTAAATCATAAAATTAACAAATATAGCCTTGTGTAATATATTTACATGGAAACAGTTCATCTAGATTTGAAAGCTTAGATTGTTTGAAAGTATTAATACCTAGAAATATATCTTTATTTTCATTTGATTTTTCAGGATGTGGTCATTCATAAGGAAAGTATATATCATTAGGTTGGTATGAAAGAGAAGATGTTTAAACAGTAATAAACTATTTGAAATAAACAAAAAAAGTTAATTAAATAAGTATATGGGGAAGAAGTATGGGTGCAGTAACTTCCTTAATGTATGCAGATAGGGATCCTAGAATTAGTGGAATAGTAAGTGATTCAGCATTTTCTAGTTTAAAAAAATTAGCAGAAGAACTATGCCAATAAAATACAAAAATTCCATCTTTTATAGTTTCAATAGCATTATAAGTAGTAAAAAAAAAAATTTAGGAAGAGGCTTAATTTAATATATTTGAAATAGACCCTCTAAATAATCATATAGATAAAATTAAAAGCCCAATTTTTTTTGTAGCAGGTAATTAAGACAAGTTTATTTCACCAAATCATTCTATTTTATTACATTAAAAATATAGTAACAAAAATAAAAATATAAATTTTATAGATGCAGACCATAATTCTAAAAGACCAATTTATATACTAGAAAAAATTGGAAATTTTTTTTTATAATGTTTTATTTTAGAAAAAAAAAATGATTTAAATTTTTATAGTGTAATAAAAAATGATTCTAAATAAAAATAATAATATGTATAAAAAATAAAATATAATAATAAAAAAAACAAAGATAATATAAAAAATAATAATAATAATAATAGTAATAATAATAAAAATAATAATAATAATAATAATATTATATAATAATAATAATTATTATTATTATAATAATGATTATAATAATAATGTCGGAAATTTTTAAGATATTAATAAATATCTATTTTAATTAGATTAATAAATTAATAATGGTAAAATTAATAATTTAATACATAAAAATATTAATATTTAAGCAAAATAAAGCAAAGGTGATTTACATGATGATGTTTTTGAAAATGATAGTTAAATAATGAATAATTTTAAATAATCACATTTTAATTAAATTAATAATATAGATGATTATTACAATGTATTCAGCTATTAAACTATTGATGATTTTAAAATGGAATTTATATATAATTACAATAATAATTATTATTATTATGATAATATAAATACTAATGTTAATTAAAATAATTTTAATTATGTAAATAATATAAATAATGAAATTAATTATGATAGTATTCATAATAATAAAAATAATGATGACGATATATAAGAACATATTGATTGGACAGATGATGATTGTTAAATTAATATAAATTTACCCTATTAACTATAATATGATTAAATTAATAATTACAAATAATAATTTTGATTATTATAAATATATATACATTATTTATATTTTAATAAATTAATTATACTATACTTTAAAATTTTATTTTGTAATGAATTATTTTTAAATTTAATATTTATTATAGATTATATTAAGTAATTTAGTTTTAATATTTTTTTTAAATATATTTTATATTTTTTAAACTTATTTAAGAAAAAAAAATTATAAATTTTTCTTAAATATTATTTAAAAAAAGATTAAATAAAAAAAATTACATAATTTATATAATATATATAATTTAAAAAGTATATATATTAAGTAATAATATTTAATACTTATAAAAATAATTTAAAAAAAGATAACTTATATATATATATATATATATATTTAGTATTAAAATATAAAATATATATTTATATATTTGATATTAAATAAATAAAAAAGTATTGCATATAATAATTTATATGCTATATAAAAATATAATAAATAATATTTATATAAATCTGTATAGGTTTCTAAAAAAAAAAAATTCTAATAATTATCTTTCAATTTATAGAATTATTATGATGTAAAGTAGGTAATCCTTATACAATAGGATGTTTTGGATATTATTACATTTAAACTAATAAAGGATATTTATTAGAATAACCATTAGATGAATCTAAATTAATATTACTATTACTTTATTAATATATTTAAGGTTAATTAACATGAGATATTGGATTAGAATATTAAATCTATTATTATTATTATTATTATTATTATTATTATTATTATTATTATTATTATTATTACTCTATTTGTTAAACTGGATAATAATGTTATTAATTTTGTATATAATTTTAATTATTATTATTTAATAATTATTATTAACAATGTTAACATGAAGATTATATTTAAATAGGAATATCATATCCATTTTATCTTTATTATAAACCAGCAATTTATTATTATGGATTATTAATTAATTATTATATTCTTTATTATTTTTATTATTTTCTTCTTTTATAACATTTGTAAAGTTTGAAAATGAAAATAGTTCCTAATAATATTGATAATAAGATTACTAATATTCTATGTTTTCTAAATGCTCTATGATGTCTTCCTCTTTAATGATGCCATGGTCCATTTCTTTCTTATTCATTTTATTAATTTCTTGGGTTATTTTCTACTTTTTTTCCTCTTTCACCCCTTTCACCTCTTTCACCTCTTTCATCTCTTTCTTCTCTTTCACCTCTTTAACCTCTTTAACCTCTTTCTCCTCCTTCTCTTTTGTTTCCTCTTTCCTTTCTTTCTTTACTTTCTTCATGACCTTTGTTATGTCTATTTTCATGATCCTCATTATGGGGTTCCCTACGATAATTTTCTTTATCATGTTCTTAAGATGGTATTGCGTTTTATAAAGTTTCTTCATCTTTAGGTAAACTTTCTGAAGGAAGATATCCTTAATTTTAATTAGGATATTCTGAAAGAGTCTCGTTTTTGTATAGGTTTACAGTAGAATTAACCTCTATTGATTTTATAGCAATTGTAAATACTAAAAGTATTAATATTGAATAGGTTTTCATTTTTTTATATAATTATATATATTTTTTTTATTTATAATAATTATTAAATATTTTTTTTTACTTCTTATATAATAAGTAAAAATAATATATTATTATATATATTTTATCATTTCTTTTTTTAAAATAGATAATTTTTTTTGGTTTTTTTTATCAATTAACATAGAATTTATTAATATTAAAAAAAATTAATTGTTTAAAAAATAACCTTAATATATTTTTATTTTAATTATTCAGGTTAAAATGAATAAATAAACTAGCTCAGTATATATATATATTAATCCAAATTTAAAAAATATAAAAATTTTAATAATTAAATATATATTTTATTTCTAATTATTCTATAAATTGATAAGAAATTTAAATTAATTCAAAAAAAAAAAATTATATATATTATTATATTATATAGATTTTTTAAGAAAATATATATACATTAGTCTAAATTTGAATATTATATATATGTAAATAATTTAATTGACAATAAAATTATATTTATTATTATATTTTAAAGTTTTATTAAGAAAAAAAAAAAAAAAAACATTAATTAATATTTATTTAAATATTATATAATAATTAATTTTATAAAAAAAAAAAATTAATTTAGAAATATTAATAGAAAATTATAAATTTAGAATTTTACTTATTATTATAAAAATATTTATTATATAAATATTTTTATTAAAAATTTTAATTCTAATTTCTATATTATTATATTATTTTTTTTCTTTAATATTTCCATTTATTTTTCTAATTAAAATTTTGATTTATAATTTATTAAAAATAACTAGCAATCAAATAAATATTGACTTTTAAATAGTTTATTTATACTTATTTATTAATAATTCATTACCTTACTAATATTTTTTTTTAAAAATAAATATATTTAATATGATATTCTTAAAGAATAATTATATTTAATTATTTGTATATTATTAAAATTTAATATTTTTTAATAATTGATTATTAGTTAATTTTTTTAAAAAAATAAATAAATTATTATATACAAAATAAATACTAACCTTTTTTATAATAAAAGACGATAGTTACTTTGTAAAAAAATATAATTTTTAGATAATAAAAATAAAACTTAAAAAAAAAAACAAAAAAAATTATAATAAAATACAAAAATTAAAAAAAAACAAAAAAACATTTTAAATTAATTAACAATAACTTTTTAAATTAATTAATATATATAATTAAAAAAAAAAAAAAGAAAGAAAGAAAAATAAAATTAAATTAAATGAAAAAATATTTAATATTATTTCTATTTATAAATATATATCAATGTGAATTCTTAGATTATACAGATGACCATTTATACGATTGTACATTAATATAAACTGAATAAGAATAATCTCAAATATTAAAATTACATTATATAGAACGCATATCATTCGTTATAATTCCTCCAATATCAGTATTTTTGAGTTTACTTATAATAATAATATTTATAAAATTTAACAAGACAAGAACATTTCCAGGCTATATTTTTTTTTCATTAACAATAGCAGACTCAATATTAAATATAAGCTTTTTTTTATTAGCAGTTCACAGTTTTTATTTTGATTAATCTCCAATATCAAGTGGATATTTTTGTTAAATAAACTCAGTAATGAGTATTATAGCACTTTGTTGTGAATTTATGTACAATTTAGCATTTTCATTTATTTTAACATAAAAATTAAAGCGAGCATTATAAGGATTTAATACAAACCAAATATATATGCATGCTATAATATTAAGTATTGCCGTAATTATAACGACCATTTTAACTACTTTGGGTTATTCTGGTTTGAATCTATTTGGAATTTGTTCCATTTCTACTAAAAACAATTATATAGGAATTACTTTTGTTTTTATTTTCATAGGAATTGAATTTTACACTTTTTATTTCTTAAAAAAATCAATTCCAGCTATTTAATCCAAAGATTCTCTCCTTTAAATTGTTAAACATTATATCCGATATGTATTTGTTACTTGCATTATATATACTATTTTTGGAATATGCGATTTTATTACTGGATTAAATTGTATTTATTTATAAAAATCATATATTAATATTAGCATTACTTTTGGAAATCTTGCTAGGCTTTTTTTCCCACTTTTTATGGCAATTATTAGATTAAGTGATCCAGCAAATAAAAAATATACTATATATATATTTTATAAATTAAAAATAATAAATATGGATTATGATGAATTTATTCTATTAAATACTAATCATAAAAAATAAGAACTTTAAAAATAAGACTCTTGGGTTTCAGAGTTATCTAAAGATCTAAGAACTTCTACTATTTTTACTATGTTATGTTCAGTTTATATGGATATAAAGTAAAAAAAATATATTTAATAAAAAAAAAATATATTTATTTATTTTTTATGTATTTCTAGGGAAGAAGATTAAAAAAAAAGCATTCCAATATCAAGTCTATGCTAAGATGATGGACAATAAATCACTTAAAGGGTAATTTCTAAGGAAGTTATTAATAAAAGATTTAAATTTGATAAATATACTTTTCAAAAAAACAATAGATAATAATTTTAAATTGTGCAAATTAAAATGACTACTCATTCTCCTATGCTATTTAGAAATATTAGAGATATTGATATTGATATCCTTAATTTCTAAAAGTCCCTTGATTTTTCTTAAAATAAAGAATAAATTTAATAAGCTTTTGGACAAGCCGATGGTGGAAGAAGTGGAGAATTCTTTTTTTTTACTTATGATAACTAACTTATTTTAAAAACTTTAAAAGAAGAAGAACTTAATACTTTTAAAAAAAACTTATATCAATATGTAACTTATTTGAATGAAAATTAAACTTCTATGATTACTAAAATATATGGATTATATTCTTTTTAAGTAATTAAAGGTTCTTCTTAAATGGTTCATTTGCTCGTAATGAAAAATATATTAACAATGCCAAAATAGTGTGTTTATTTATTTTTTTAAAAAACATAAAAAAAAATTATAAAAAAATAATGCTTATTATATATATTTATATTAATTTTTTTTTTTTTTTTCTTAAACAAAAATAATATAAAAATAAAGATATATTTTAAGAACTTACGATCTGAAAGGTTCAAAATTAGGTAGATAAGTAATAGATGAATAAAAAGAATATGATGATCAATATTTAAGAAAAAAAGTTCTAAAAGAAAACGAATTTATAAGATTCGAAAAATAAATCTATTTATCATTTAGAGAAAGATAAATTGTAAAAGACATATTAGAAAAAGACAGTTAGTTTTTAGCAAAAATGCATTACGTAGATTATTCTTTATTAGTAATTAAATTAGATTATAAATAATACAGAATAGATAATATAAGAAATAATCAGTAAATATTCACTTCATATAATTGTTTAAGGGATGACCGAAAAAACGGCATTTATTATCATTTGGGAATTATTGATTATTTATAAGAATATAATTATATTAAAAGAATTGAACATAATTATAAAAAAGTGAGATATGGACAATAAGCTGATGCCTCTATTTAAGAGCCTAATTATTATTCAAATAGATTTATTAATTAAATAGTTAAAAAAATTTTTTGAAACTTTTTTTTTTTTTTTTATAACAATTTTTTTTATTATTTTATTTTTAAAATAATATACACATTTAATTTATATATTTTTTATTTTTTTATTCATGTATTTATATTTATTTTATGTTCAGTAATTAATTTACTAAATGAACATGCATACTTTTTTAACTTTCTATTAATTCTATATTTATAAGTATAATCTTAATATTTTTTTTCATCAAAATTATTATTCTTTATTAAATATTCAGTACTTTTTGAATTATTTTTAAATGTATTTTAAAAAAAATTATTTTAAATCGAATCTTTGGTTTAAGTTTTAACAGTTTAATATGTGTTTTTTACTTTTTTAGATAAATTTGAATTATAACCGTTTTAAACAAATAATTAAGGATAAGCAGACTTTTTGTGATATCGAGGCAAATTTTATAAGGATTATGACTTTTAAAAATATTAAGTTTAATTAGATCTAGAGGTAGTAATTTAGGAATTTTTTAAAATATTCATCAAATATTAATTGCTTAAAGGAATATTATTATATTATAATTAACATTATTATTATTATTATTATTATTATTATTATTATTATTATTATTATTATTTACATTTTGATAATTTTTTTGTATTATTTATTAACAGATTATTATATTAATAAGTTTAAGGATATTTATTTACTAACATAATAGTTTTTATTTTTAACTTATTTCCATTTTTATTCATTTATTAATAATTATATTTTTTTTTTATATAAAATAAAATATAATATTTATAAAATAAAAATAAATATATTTTATTTATTAAAAAAAATCATATATAAATATTATTCTATTCTTAAATTTAAGAAATATAATTTGATTATTTAACAACACTTTATAATTCTATTTCTTATTTTTCCCTTAGTTCTGTATAAATTTCCTAATCATCTCCATATTTATAAAAGAAAACATCAATAATATAACAAAAAACTACTAACAACCCCATTACCATATAAAACCACCATGAGAATCCCATTAAAGCTTTAAAAGATCCCGAAATATCTGTAAAGTTAAAATACTTATCTTATAAAAAGTAACACAAAACATAAAACCCATAGCTTCCATATAAACAAAAAGTTTAAAAAGCACTTATACTATGTGAAAAGCTCACAATCTTTTAATTAGCTACAAAAATAGCTGCCCCAAAACACGCCATACCAGTTGCTGAGAAATAAAAAAGCCACATATTTTCCCCATTACCCACATTTTCCAAAAATCCAAAACACACAAACATAATTAAAAAAGCATCTAATGCCCCTTTCAGCAACTAACTAAGGAATCTCATATAATTAAACAATTTGTTCAACTACCCTTACCCATAATAATCACTTGGATATTCCAAAAACTTCTAAATACTATGTTCCTAATCCTCAATAGCAAAAACCACAATCGGTAAAGCTGTAAAGCACGTATTATAAAGTTAATAAATAAACGGATCATACAGCGGTATTCCCGAAAACCCACTAGCCAATCCAAACCACCATTAAGGCAATACCAAAAGCATATTCTTATAGAAATTATAAAGCACAAGTTCACTATTTTTCCTATAAGACTCCCTACCGAAATGGAAAAGTAGTTTTCCTAAATATCTGAATTCCGGAATTGCATAATTGGAACTTCTTTCAGCCTGAGCACCTTCTTTTCCTCTAATACCAATTCCTACATGTGCCGCATTTATCATATTTACATCATTAGCTCCATCTCCTATGGCTAGGGTTTTCACATCAGGGAATGCATTTCTGATCAGATCGACCATTTATTTCTTTTGGTTTGGGGAAACTCGAGATGCTATGACAGTATCGGAATCTTTTGCGATTTCTAAAAAGAGCGTTTCTTGCATTTTCTCGTTCATTATTAAAATTAAGTCATCTCCTTTTACTACAAAAGTTATCTTTATACCCTCGTTTTAGTGTTTTAATTCTTTGTATTCTTTACAAAGCTAAACTCCCTTATTTAAAGCTATGTAAATGGATTCGCTATCTGAAGAAATTCCATTTTATTTAGCTTCTTTTGCCAATACAGAAAGCTATATTATTCTAGAATGACAATTATCTCCTATAACCTTTGTTGAATATCCAATAGAAATTGCTGTTTCTTCCTTATCTCCTGTAAGTACCCAAAAATTAATATTGGCTTCTTTTACCTTCTATATAGTATTTGCTACATCAACCTAAAGTTCGTCTTCTACTCCTGTAACAGCCAAATAATCTAAATTTCTTTCCATTTTATCATAAGCCTTTTCAATAAATTCGTCTCTTCTATCCTACATCCCTCTTGCTTAATTTGTTTCCTAAACAAAAGCCAAAAATTCATTTTTACTGATTTTTTTTGAAGCCAAAACCAATGTCCTTAGTCCATACTCTGAATATTTTTACAAAGAAGCCTAAGTTTTATGTGAAAAGTTATGCTTTAACCTTTTTTCCATAACATTATCTGCCCCTTTAGATAAAACGAAAATCTCCTAAGTGTCATTTTTCTCAACTATGACTGACATTCTTTTCCTATCACTATTAAATTCCATTAAAAATAAAAGGTTAAATTCTTCTATTCTCCCCTCAACATTTATCTTAATAACATTATTATCGTTTTTATTTATATATTCGACCCCTTAGGATTTCGCAAATCCAACCAAACAAATTTCATCTGGAGAAGGTCCATTGTATTCCCCATCATCATTTCTTACTACATTATGGCATAAAGCAAGATGTTTTAAAGACAGCATAATATTCTAATCAATATTTTTTTATTAATTAAATAAAGGATCGTAAAATCCTTCTTCACTAAATCCATATTACTTAGCATCTACTTCCCCGAAACTGTAATCCGAAATACATATACATCTAAATTTCATCACATTTTATGTTAGAGTCCCTGTTTTATCGGAAAAAATATATTTTATTTATCCCAATTCTTCATTCAAATTTGAAGATTAAACTTTACATTGTTTATAATCTTCTTAATTTGCTTCTAAATTGACTCCTTGTATATATTTAACAACTTCCAAAGTCACTAATAACGAAATAGGAATAAAATTCGTAAAAATCAAAATCCACCCTCCGGTTCTTACTAAGCAATCAACAAAATCAAATCCTTATTTTTTCAAATTTATCTCCATATAGCCCAAAATCTTAATATTTTAATGCTCCCACAAACTAGCATATATTCCAGACAAAAAGCAAATAATTAATTAAAAAATGAAAATAATTATAATGAATTTATTCATCATAACTTCCAATGAACTAAATTTAGGTTAACTTTAGCATGTATTTAATTATATTTTAGTATCTTTTCCTGTATATAACACTAATCCATATATCCAGTCATTCATTTTTAATGAACATCCTCTTAAAACTATATTTTTACTATCCAAAAAATCATTATTAAATACATTATTTGATATTATTTTTCCTGAAAAGTCTTCTAAGTATTTATTAGGAACACAATATTCAATTTCATATTTTTTATTTTAATTTCCTTATAAAATTGTTTTATCATTTCTAAATAAATCAGGAACTTATTTTATTTTTAAATTTGTTTCGCCGTCTAAGTTTTTTGTCTCAATATAAACTTCTTTTTTATTTGAATAACTATCAACTACTAAAATATCTGCGGGAATATTTTCATCTTTATGAATCTTTTATTATTTTTATTATTAAATTGAAAATAAAATATGATATATATGCATGTATGTATGCATATATTTATAAATATATATATATATATATATATATATTATATATATATATATATATATATATATATTTATTTATTTTTTTAAAAATAAAAATACCTTTATTATATGTCCAACTTTTAATTCCTAACATTTTATTAATTATGTATATCCAGAAGAGTTAATTACGACGTTAATTTCCTTATTATTTTCTTAATGATCAGCCTTTTTTCTTTTCAAATCTTCATAGTAATCTTTCATCATACTAACTAAAATTACTACCATTAAGGGTAAAAGAATTACAGGTTATCCATTTGAAATAGAAATAGAAGGAATACATTATAATACAGCTATTATTAAAAAATATACATTTGCCAGTTTTTACATTTGATAAAATAAATTTTAACATATAAATATTGGCATTTGGTAATATTTAGATGTTTTTACTGAATTATCACAATAAGCGGGAAATTAGTTGAATAAAGAGATTAATCGAATTCTTTAGCTGTTGTTTGTGAATATATTTTCACTATTTTATATATACGATTATTAAAGTTATGAATTGTATTTTAAACTTTATTGAGAGGATTTTTAATTTCTCATTTTTATTTTATAAATATTAATTTTGAATTTAGAAAATAATATAATTTTATTATTTTAAAATATATATATATGCGTTTTTTTTATTTATTTTTTCTTCTTTTAATTTTATTAATTTTAATTATTTATGAAAGTTGTTTTTTTTTATTTAAAAAATAAATTGAATATTATATTATATAATGTTTTTTTATTTATATTTTTAGATATTATTTATAAAAAGAAATATAATAATTAATGTATATTTTTTTTAAATAAATACATTTTTAAATAAAAATTAAAATTTTAAAATAAATTTATTTTTATTAAACAAAAAAAGAATTATTTTTATTAAAAAAAAAAAAAAAAATTATATTAGATATAAAAAACACAACCATTTAATTTATTTCAAAAATTTAAAATAAATAATTATTTTTTTCTTGCCTATTATAAAAAAATACAATTTCTAAATTAAATTAAAATAAAAAATATATTAATAAAAGTAAAATATGAACAAATAAAAAGGAAAACAAAAAATCAATTTTGTATAATATAAGAATCAGATTTTGATCTTGTTTTTATCCATTTAAGAGGCATTTAAATAGATTAAGTTTTTACTTTTAATTAATTAATAGCAAGTCCAAAAAAATTAAAATTAGACAAGCAATATTAAATATTAATTTTTTATATAATTTTATCTTTTATCTTTTATTAAATTTTCTATAAATATGTTTTAAACTTCCAAAAAATACAAAATTATTTTTCCTAATTACCTTTAAAATCTTTTATTTTGCACAAAACAACATTAAATTAATCCGAAATAAATTCAAACTATATATTTTCTTATTTATTATATTTAAGAAAATCTAATATTTCTATATCATCATCAAAATAAACCAATACTTAAATATAGTTAATATAAATATTATCATTTAAATTTCCTTTAATATATATTTAAACTAACTTTTTATCTTAACAAACTTCGAAATCAACTTTAAACGGTTCTTGATATTTTTTTTAATCATCAAAATAATTCATAAGTACAAATTCTCCTAAAGGAACATCTAAAAGACAAACAAAATTTTATTTATTATACAAACTAAAATCAACACATTAATGAAAATTAACAAATTTAAACTTTTTATTAAAAGTAAAAAAGGCTTTTGGTTATAAACCTTTTAAATAAGACTTGACATTAACAAATCCTTTTAAACATTAATATTAAACTCCTTTCTTAATATTTTTTTGAAAGAAAAAACTTCCCAAACATCCACAAAAATCTCATTTTTACCTTCTTCATTTAAAACTGACCTTTTAATTTTCTCATTTTAATATTAAACTTAAATTACATCACTAACAATACTTTTTTTATTTCTCTGTTTTCTGTATTTTATACATATCCAAAATCTATTATTTCATCTAATATTTCATATATTAACATTTAATTTTCTTTTATACTTTTTTCGCTTATAATTCCACATATATCATTAATATTTTTTATTACTGAATATAAAATTTCTATTATTAAACTTGGGTTTATGTCAAAGCGAGATGTTGATACTATTTATAATTCATTTCGGATTATAAATACAAAATTAATACCATTATAATTAAAAAATGGCGTTTTGTTTTTAGGTTTTTGCTCCTAAAAATATTATATTGTTGATTATGTAGGAAGATCTTGCCGATAGTCTTTTATTATTATAGATTCTTCTCTTGATGATAATATAAATATTAATGATATCATTTTTTATTTTATTAATTTAAAGATTTTTAATTTCTTTTTTTGAAAATAAATAATTAAACTCAATAATGTTTGTTATTTATAATATTTTCAAATAAAATTAATTTGAATTTAATAAAATTGTAAGAAAGAATAATATAAATTAAATACTTATAATATATACAGATAAAATATAATATTATATCATAAATATATTAATAATATCCATATTTTTTGAAGTATATAATATTAATAGTTTTTATATTATATTGAATAGTATTTTTATTTGTTATATATTAAAATATTGAAAATAAAATGTTAAATGCTTTGTAAAAATGTATTTTAATTCATTTAATAATGTAATACTTTTTAGTTTTTTTTTTTTTTAAATAATAAATCATTTAAAATATAATTTATTAAAATAAAAAAAATTTCTAAATTTTATGAATATTTAAATATATAAAAATATTAATCAATTATTTTCAATATATACATAAGTTTTATAAATATTAAGTATTTTTTTTTATAAGTTTATTTAGGTTAAAAGAAATAAAGAATTATAATTATAAAAATATAATAATAATAATATATATTTTAATATAATATATGTATAATTTATTAATTTTTTTTTATATTTATAATAAATTTTTTTTTATATTTGAATATTATATATATAATAATTTTATATATAAAAAATATTAGAATATCACCATTTTTATATTATTAAATTTTTTTATATATATTAATTTATTTAATTAATTAACTAAATAGTTATTCTTATGATATTATAAATGTAATCATTAATAATTTATTTAGTTTTAGTAATTATTAGATTATTATAAAATTTATAAAATACTATAAATATTTAGTTTTTTATTTAATATTAAAAAAATATTAATAAAATTAAAATAATAAAAAAATAAAATTAATGTCGTAATACTTTTAATAGCAAAGTATTTTTAATTTAAAAATAATATAAATTATTTTAAATAAATAAAAAAAGACGGTAAACAAATCAATTACTAATTATTTAGTAAATCATAAGTAATAATTAAATATAATTAAAAAATTATTAATTTAATTTTTTTTTTTAAATATATTATAAGAATCCTCATCAGAATATAAATAAAATAAATGTGAATAATATATGTAAAATAAACATATTAATAATTAAAAAAAATATTTTTTATTTATAATATAATTAATATATATAAAATAACAAATATTTAACTAAATACAAAATAGAATAAAATATTTAAAAATTAACTTATTAACAATATTAATAGCAAACATATTAGAGTTAAAATAGCTTTTTAAATAACTCATAATAAAATATTTTAAAAAAACAACTTTCATAAAAAAATATTAGTTAATTATAATAAATAGTATTAAAAATAATATATATATATATATATTAATTATCTTTATATAAAGGATAATAATTATCAAAATACAGACATAAAATAAAATCCATATTCATTAAAAACGTATTTATAATAATATAGTACTCCTTAAAAGTCTATTTATTTATCATAAACTAATAATTTAGCATAAAATACTTTGAACAGTTAAACTCTTAAAAGAAATATATAGACAGATTTAAAAAATTAAAATAATAATATAAATTTTCATGAATATAATATTTAAAAATAATCTTAAAAAAATTAATTTAAATTAAATGATAATAATAGTAATATTAAAAATTTAAATTAAAGTTTAAAAGATTATATTTCGCCTTAAACTGAAAAAATTCTTAAAAAGTGGAATAATTTAGATTCTAATAAATAAATTTCATAATTTAAAGAATAAAATATATCAAATAGTTAATATAGATAACCTATAAAATAAAGTAATATTTCCATAAGAAATAATGATTAAGAAAGATATTTAGATAGTAAAAAATATATATATTTATAATATTTTTAAAAAATATATTATAATAAAATACTATTTAAATTTTAATATATATATATATAAATATATATATATATATATATATATATATATATATATATATAATAATATTTTATTTTTTATTTTTATTTATTATA